ATCACTATGCGGATGATACACAATTGTACTTCAGTTTTCAGATTGATCACATTTTGAACTCCTACTCTTTGATTAACGACGATATTAATATGTTATACAATATATCAATTGCACATAATCTAAGCTTTAATGCCAACAAATCAAAGGCAATGCTGTTTGGCTCTAAACAAAAACGTATGATTTCTAAGCATTCGTTTAATCTGAACATAAATAACATACCATTACCTGTAGTGGATGAGAGCAAAAATTTGGGATTGCGGTTTGATTCAGATCTGCGATTTAGTGTCCATGTCAATAAAATTTCCTCCTCAGCCTATAGTATGCTTAAGCAATTATATCCACATCTTCGTGTTTTAAATAGTAGCTTGAAAATGAAGTTATGTGATGCCCCTATAATTTCTCGCCTATCTTACTGTGACAGCATATGTGGCCCGGCTCTTTTAAAAAATGATTGTTTAAAATTACAGCTAGTACAAAATTCGTGTCTGCGCTTCTGTTTTGGTATAAGAAAGTTTGATCACATAAGCCATATATTCAAACAACACAACATTCTAAGTTTAGATAGATTGAGAAAATTGCATTTCCTATCACTAATCCACAAAATTCTCGTAAACAAAAAGCCGGAATACCTTTTAGATAGAATTTCAAAGTTTGAAAATATCATTATATATTAGAAATAGGCGAATGATCGTTATACCACCCCACTCAACATCAACCTTTAAACGCAGCTTTTCATATAACGCAGCAAAACTATACAATTGTCTCCCAAATGATTTTTATGACTTCTCTTTATTGAACTTTAAGAAAAAGCTAAAGAATTTGTAGCTGTCTGAAGTGTGAAGGATCCTATATGCCGACTCTGTTTACGCCCACTACTTTTCTACTTGTCTCTCTTTCATTCTTGTTCTATTAATTGTTGATACAAAATACTTTTTCGTTACCTACAAAAATGTATTATGATTTGCTGATAGGACGTTGGTAGCTACACCAGCAACAAAAGACTTTTAATCCTACGTTTTATTGAGAAAGTTATGGTAGTTAAATGGATGAGCTGAAACTCACTACATTTTTTTTTCTTTTTTTTGTGATTAGTTCCTTTCTCTTAGGCACTAGGTTACAGAACAGTTATTATGACTATCATTAATACTTATGTTTATCTCTATTATTGTATGATATGTGTATGTTCATGATACAGATACAATTTTTTATTTGAGGTTGAGTTGAAAAATACCCCTAGGGTAACACTCCACCTTTTCAATTTTGCACTTTTGCGGTTTTCAAGATATCATTCTTTTGTTTTATTTTATGTATGCAAAGTTGAATAAAGGCACATTATTATTATTATATATTAAGAGTTGCTCTTATTTCTTTATGTTTAAAATAATAAAATATGCTGCTTGAACTTTCAACACAAAAGCTAACACAAATACACATACACGCACGTTGTATAGAGAGTGTTTCCAAAACAAGTAGCCAACGTTCAGGATGAGATTATTTGAGCTTTTCTAAGACTATTTTGTTCTTTGGGGAGTTACAAAAAGCGGTTTTGCCTTGAAGATACCCGGTATGAACAAAATCTTCAAAAATAACTTTTACTGCCACTATTAATGCTGAAGCTCTTTAATCTAACATAGAAGGTTGAAATTGGCAACCTCCAAGTTGGCAGCGATATTCGCAGTAGAGGAATACCCACATTAATATATCAGCCTCTTGTATGCATATAGAAAACAAAAAATAATGTAGGTTCCTATCGAAAATAACCTGTTATTCATAAATAACTCTTGAATGAGACGACAATCAAACAAAATTTTGACAGCATAGTAACTAGTTGGAACTTCACATGACGGTGTCCAAAAAGAAATTCCGTCACTTAAGCCACTGATGACAATGAATGAACAAATAGACCCAATGAAATATAGCTAACTTTACGCGTTGTATAATAATGGCTCAATCTCCATTTTTGACTCGCATATTTGTGGCTAACCAGTCATTCTTGTGTTGTCTTAGCAACTGTAATTCAATGCAAGATTCTGACGTAGAGTTGGAGCATTTGACCTTGCTTAGGATCAACATTCCAAGTACAGTTTTGAACAACGCCATTGACGGCAATGGAAGCTCTGTTGGATCTCCCACCGTTGGATCTGGTGATCCGCGGTGAAGCGAAAGTGCATAGTGTGCTAATAATATGTGTTGATCATAAGACCATTGGTTTCTTGTCTTAAATACACTTACTTGAGATTCAAAGCTAGAAATTAGTTGCGAAACCATTTTTTTAATTCATTCTGGAAATTACCAATGCAAGTCTGCTGAGTTTCATAAATGAGAAAGATAAGAAAAGAACATCTCTGGTTGTTGAAGTAACAGGTGAGAAAATATGCTACAGACAGGAATATTTATGAAAGTGAAAAGGTTATTACATTATTTTTTATTTTCAGTCGAACTCAAAAAAAAAACGACGAAAATCGTAATTTATAACTTTGAACATAACCTGTCTTCAGAAAGGACAACATATTAATAACGCGTCGGGCACCACTAATAGATAACTTCATTGGAAGCATATTCAGTAATAATATTTTCACATAGCAAATATAAGTGATTTTGTATACGTGTAGACCAATACACATAATCATCCAGCTGCGATCTTGCTACTCAACCAACTCTCCTTTTTTCACATCTTCTCAGAGATAAACAGTATAGACTACTCGGATTCACAAAACGTATACTTGCTTTCTGCAACCAACAATGCGTGTAGTTTAGTCATTCCTCCATAGATGGACGCTCTCAACGATCCTAGTGAGCAAACGTGGAATGACTTTTGCACCCTAAAAACTACCTAGTCTGCCAGATGACATTTTATAGTGTTTTTTGACATTTTATAGATTTTTTACGTAATACCCGTGCGGGACCTATGAACTCAGAAACAGATAGCCGTATGTCAAGCATGAATGACATTGTCTGTGCCTCAGTCCATTCCTTTCCCTTCATTCTGAATGCACCTTAAAGAAAGCAATTTCGTTGGCTGCCTAGCAGCGGATCGTTAATGGCACCGATATCGAATCGCTGCTTGAAGAGGATATCCAATTATTTTTTAATAAATCAATTGTGGTTAGTGATATATCCGATTTTTTAATCCTTAGTTCGCTTAATATGCTGAGACAAGGCTATTAGATCTGTTTCACATATAGTATCTTAGTAACTTACTATACGTAATTACGGTTTTGAGTACTTGTCATCAAACACAAGGGCCATCAAGAGAAAAATAAGGCATTATAAAACAATTAATAAAACGCTTGAAAGTATGTTATACAACTTAACTAGACCTACACTAGAACACCCTTGAATAGCATCTGCACTGACTTGGAACCACTTTACAGTCCGCAAGACTATTGCATGCAAGCTCTTGCAGTAGCAACAGGGCATTGTTGCTGTATGATAATGAACTGCAGACAATATGGCAAGTGCGAGAAGATGGATCTCTTCGGGAAACCTAGGCGAGAACCAACGGCTTTGTACAGTGCCAGCAAGAAACTTGTAGTACCTAGTGCACAATTCAAAACTATTGAATTGGGTGTTATAAATTATGAAGAGAGATAGCAAGTCTGAAGGTGTGCCGTGCCATCGCAAAAAAACTCATCTTAACCGCCTCGCCTCACTCTAAATAGCCGGAATAATTTTAATTTTACAATATATTAACAAAACGGTGATTTAGTTACAAAAGAATTTAATCAGAATTACTTTTCTTGGTTAGCCAAGTATCTTTATGACCCAAACTAAGGTAAAAGGAGCCCTGAGGCAAAGCAGAGCCGTTGCCTCTTTTTATTCCATTCATAACGATAATTATCCAGAAAGACAAGGTAAAACGAGCGGGAACATTTAGGAATTTTACTGCACACGTAGTGGTTGTATTTTTGAATTCCATGAATGTTTGGCATATGTTAAAGGTTCTGCTTGGTATTTTGTGGCATTTGGCGAAAATGTTTTCAGTACTTTGTGGCACTTTCCGATATTTTCTAGCTTGTTTCTCCGGTAAATATTCGTTTAAGCAGCTACACATAATGCCTGATATTGGATGCGATTTAATTTTTTGTAGTTAGGTGCAACCGGGGCTCAAGATAGATAGGTGGTAGGGTGTGAAGATAAAATATATTTTATCCGTTAGCTTTTTCATTCGAATAGAAATTCCAAAGCATTTCATAAAAAGGAATTTCAGGGTACTTCAGAAAGATGCAAATATTTGATGCTGTTTTAGGAAGATATCTCGGGGAACTAGCCTTGCAAACCATTGGAAGGTAGCCATACCCATTACGTTCGTCTCCAGGACTACCAACCAAACAGCGCTGTCCGTGGCTGGTCATGGTTACAGAGACGAAAAGCGAACATGTTAATTTCAACACTAATCCTATTCACATGCCTGTTGTTGTGCAGTCAGCAGGTGAATGCGACATTTATTCTCTGTCTAATTTCTTCTACCGCATCTTCTTCCACATACTCCAAATGGTATCTCAAGATCTTGCAACCTACAAACCAAGCTAGAGAAATGCGGGTTGCAGTAGTTCATGCAAGCAGTTGTGCGATACCTCGTTAGGTGCGTAGGCTACCTTAACAGTAAACAGTGAAATTGATATTCTTTACATAAACAGGTATGCCAAACCTTGTGAAAAAATGGTCGTAATTCTTTGGAACGATACAACTAACGTTCTTTTTTAATATTTCATTTTTTGCACTCAATTGTGCATTGCCTGAAAAATGTGACAGTAACTGAAAGAAGAAAAACCTACGATATGACTAATTGTTGGTCCTTTTTACTCAGCAGTCATTAGATTTTCTTCATCCACAATACGTGTTATGTATATTATTTTAAGTTTGATCCGTATAAACCTAATTTTCCTTTGGTTTTGTGAAAGTATAAAGGTGAGGTTTATTAAAAGCAAAATGCGCCAGTAGCATGCAGTTTCTTACCGTAGCTAATTAAATCCTTGACGGCAGGCGTATGAACTTACCAAGTATCCATTAGCATTATAATGGCCTTTCAGCCTTGTCAAGGAAACCTTCTCCTCCTTGTTGGCACGGATCCAGGCCTGGATCCAGCTCAGAAGGTTGACTTTGTGGAAAAAAGCGAGGAACACTAAAACTACCAGCGCTATGGCACACAGGACTGTTACGGCTACTTGCACGTCACCCATCTGGAAAGATTTTATTTAGTTAGCTTGTAAGGAAGCAAATTTAATTTACAGATAATTTCTTGAAAAATATATAATCTGTATTTAGTTCTGATATGAAACAAAACTATGCGCTAAGAGGTGACATTGCTACCTACAGAATGGTTTACCAGATGCATACTACCCGTTAATAGCAGAGAACTTTATAAGGTTTCTTGACACCTCTGAATGTTAGTCGGCTTCGACGAAACGGACTACGTACACCACATAAATTAAATTAACAATAATGTCACTCCTTTCCTTAAAACGACGATATTTAGGCTGTCCCAAAATTGACACAAGATTTGAATTAGATGGAAAATAGTTTCACTTCTTTCTTCCTTACTTTCTTTACTCTGTTAAATTTTAAAGCACCCAGAGGAGGGACATAAACGAAACCGCAGATCTGGTACATGACCTCCTTCATTTTGTTGGCACAACTGTTGTAGGTATCTGCAATGAATATTTGGTGTAAATGTAGCTGAACTTAAGGGAGCGTTGGATTTCCTCTTTCAAACTTCAAAAATTTACAGTTTAAATCACCGAAATGAGAGAGGACGCGACTAGGAAATGTCTCAAACTTCAATTCGCGGGCTATACGGCTTGTGCCACAGTCTTGTTGAAACCACACGTTATCGATATCAACATCATCAAGTTTAAGCAAACAGTAATCGAATTGATTCTGATCAATGGCAGAGTCTTCTTGGAACCTTATGTTTTACCACCACATTTGCTTGATCTGCTATTCTATACATAACCATATTCTATGTACTTCGCGTTAAGAAAAAATAACAATCTATAGGACATCTGGAACTTATCATGTGGCTTTCATGTTGATAATTCTTCATTATTGTAAAGTAGCGGCAAAAAAATGAACTGTCACCATAAAGACAGATAAATATAAAATATGGCATTGTCAATTACGATTTGTATATCTAGTTTCATTCATTTAAAAACTACCTTTTCTATTTATTTTAAATCTCACGTAAAGTTTAGGGCCATTTAATGTTAAAAAAAAGTTGAGAAAACGGATTTTACAACGGAATCATATCCTTGTTGGTTAATGAATATACCCTTCCTCATCAAGAAATACTGAAAATTCGGCCTAGTCATATTTTTATAAAAACATCAATAATTGGAAAAACGCTTTTTCGCGTATATTCAAAGAACTGTGAAGTATTAATAAAAGCGATCAAGGAGAAGGTTGAAACTGAGACTCACCGAGTTTAAATTGGTACAGCTTGATTTGATATTATGGTAGGGCTTGAAGGCTCATTTTTTACACCAAAGCAGCTACGCAGGCAGAAGCCTAAATGCCGGGACACCGCCACTGCTATGAGAATCCCAAATAAATTTTGTTCTTCCGGTTTTTGAACTGCCTAAGGCTAGTAGAACTGGGAAAAGCTTCCTCTTAAAGATTGTTCTACAATCTCGACAGAAGGAGCGGTTTATCGTCCAGTTCTTGCTGTACGAAGTTTAACTCGGTTAGGATGGGAGACCGATGTCAGACGGGTCTGTCTGGCAGGCACATCGCACGGCGGCATCATGGAGCAGAACTCTGAGGAGCAGCGCCCGTTGGTGTAGCTGAAGAAGAGAACTAGAACGCCGACGGTTCGCAGGTGCGAAAGTCGGACAACCCTCTTCTGGACAAAATCGAGCATAAATAATGTAGTCAGGGCGGTAGCACCCCAAATGTGTGAGCAATACTCGATGTTACCAGGGCCTTGTATAGGGTAAGGAGAAAAATACATATTAGGTCTAAGCAGTTGGCTAATTTTTGATGCACGTTTTCTAATTGGTCATTGATGATCCGCGTAAAAAATTTGGATTCCTGGATCAACTGAAAAATACGTTTTTGTAGCTAAGCCATTTATAAAGAATTTGTTGATTTAATACGGGAAATAGAGGCCTTTATTACACAAATCATGTATTCTTTCGCTAGTTTGGGAAATATTTTAGAAAAAATCGACTATATTTATTAGATGTATTATTAGAAAGATGATCCGGATCAAGATTTCTTTTCTCCTGTTAGTAAAATCGGGCCTGGGAAATTAAAAAGTCGTAGATATCCAATTTATATTTTACTGATAATCTCATAACAGTAAATCTGAAATAATGGACAAAAAAAAAGTCTCTGTGACGGTTAACTTTTACCAGAAAGAATCATATTGTATTGCCCAACAGTTTCTTGCAAATTTCTAATTGTTACCGATTTTTTCAGAAACATGTTTGAACTTGCTACGAATATTTGCTTATTATTCTTACGTAATATATTGTGTGGCGATAAAATAATTGCTATAATAATATATTATTTATTTACCCAAATTACAAATAAGCAACGTGAATAAGTAAATGTAAAGCAACGGGTCCAAAGTAGGCACTGCCTGGACATGGACCAGTAATTTTATGTTCCAACTGTAAAACAGAAGCTATAAAGCGTAAGGAAGTATAGATTCAATCATAGATTTAAGTTTTCTTCGAAGCAACCCAGAAATGTTGAATGACATTCGACACTTTTAGGGTCACCTTCATCATCCTCGAAGTATGTCAATATTGCCGACTCCTTATTAGAGGCCATAATTAATTATTGCTTTATTATTTAAGCCATATCTACGATGTGTACATACTAGAATTATCAAAACACGCAGTGAGTTATCTTTCTTGATTAGTAGACCACCTCGGTGTAGACATGCCTATTTCGTTTGTAGCCCGAAGCCCTCTAAAGCATCTAGCCAAGCCGGCGACTCACAAACAGTATTTGAGCTGTGAACAGGCCTGTTGTCGATTCACAGGAACCTCTTCTTTTAAAAAAAATTATATATTTGGTTGGCAAAATAAGCCTCTCTCTCTCGTACCCTGCATTGGAAAGTAGCAGCTTTCATGTTAAAAATTCGCTTAAATATGCAGTGTAGCTTAAACATTATTGAAACAGTGGTGTGCATTTTCGCAAGGGAGGCGTATAAGAATGTTATCCTAGGGAACCCTGTATATGTTACATGCCATCCCTCTCGTGTCCCATATTGCCTTTCAGATTGCCGCCAAAATATTATCGAATTCCTCAACAATTTGATCGGTAAGCAGAGATGGTTGCCAGGTCTCGACGCTAGGAATGGTAGGGAAAAGGGGTAACGGGGTCGGTGATGCGAAAGGGAATTCATAGTTTGGCCACCAGGTTGGAGGCGCTGATATGGCAGAATGCCAATAAACGCAGCAGGCGCTGCTGCCGGAGATAGCCGATAGGACGGTGTCATCCACAATGGCGTGCCCAGTATAAAGATCAAGCTACATAAGGGGATTTTTAGACCATGAAAATATTTAAATATTTCAGAACATATGTGAATATTTTGAACTTTCATAAAAATGCTTCATCTCTCGTCGAAGTAAATACCAAACCCACTTCGACGAGACCTTGGTTATTCTCTAGAAGTCCAAGTTTTCCAATTTTGCTATTTTTGTCCTTGATTCATCCATTTCGAATATATCTATGTTTATTCATGCACATACTTCCAGCAGTTCTTACTTCAAATCAATAATAAGACACACTAAAGCACAAAACATATATAAAAATGAAAGTGTTGCGTGACCGCTCTTACAATAAAAAACAGTTGAGTTTTTCTTATTGTGTATTCATTTGTTTTTTGTTATTGTGAGCGCAATGCCGTTACACTTTCATTTAGAGATATTTTAGTGTCTCAGTGTGTTTTATTAGAGATTCAGGAAGTGCAGCGACTATGCGGTCATGAAAAATAGTAACTTAAATATTCGAAAATACCTGAATTGCTTGGGCTTTTAAGATTCTCGTACAATCAAGGCCATTTAAGGCTTAAGGCCATCTACGGGCTTTCATATACAAAATTTACATACAATGTTTTTCAAAAAGGTTTACCCCTGCTTGTTTTTAATGGGTTGAGGTAGCAAGTTGAAATTCAAGGCGATGAAATTGATGCACATATTTTAGCATAAAAGTGCCAGTTGGAAATTTCAAGATCTCAGCGGGGCGACACTTTGGATCACTTGCTTCAGTAAAATACTGGGTCATGGGATACCTCATTTCGGAGCTCCTTATAATTATAGAATCTAAAATCACTATCCCTTGACATAGTGGTATGCTTTCAAAGTTGAGCTCGAATTGCTAATGTATAAGAATAAAATCAATCTGGTAAACGGAAGATGAACTAATACTTCGTTTCTGTTCTGGAGGGAGTGAAATCACGCCCCCCTCCTCTTGAATATGAACTTGTGTAGAATCAATATTAAACAAAGCGATTCGAAAATGAAGTTTTAAAAGCTCTATTAGCTACATGAAGTTTTTAGCCCTAAAGATGAAACCTTTCAAGTTGTAAGTTTTGATTATAGCTATAGCAAAGCGCATTCAGTTATTCGTGGAACTTTATTCACGAAACTTCCATTCAACAGATGCTTCGAATATTTTTTATGGTTTCGTTTGCACAAGCTGAGATTAAATCTCGATTATTTCAAACACTTTGCAGACAAAACCCTAACGCTGGGTTTGCTTATCTAGAGTGGGTATGATCATTAGTGTGATTCATCAAGTAGCATGGACTTGAGTTTTCAAAATGATGGGACTAACAAGTACAACCATTAACAATGATTCCAGTTATAAGACTCTGAATGTAAGTTAGGTTTTAGTGTGGCGTAACTTAAATTTCGTCAAATAAGGACATTTTTAATTAATTAACTTGCTTTAGTAAACGATAACTATCAGTCATATTCAGATATGGATAAAGGATTTATTAGCAGTGTCACTTTTCTTTCTATTGAGCCAAGGATTATCTAAATGGAAAGTTTTACGTTGTCAGTACTTAATACGTCACATAAGAACTTATTACGTACTTCTTTGATACATAGTTTTACGTTTTCAGTTGCAGAGTAAGTTTTACCACCTCTCATCTATTGCAAGATTTGAGTATACATTTTTTGAATGCAAAATATTGATTTTCCCAAATGGAAGTAGGTATTATTTA